TGGGAATAGTATAGCGGCTCCTTAGATCTCCAGGAGACCGGCTAGCTCCCTCAGACAGCAGCATGAGCCTCTTGTCTCAGGCAACTAAGCTTACTGGAACTGGAATACCTAGGTATCCAGCAGCTCCCTCCCCCAGATTTCCAGATGGATGGATGCCCTTCCCTAAGGAAAGGCAGAGGGGAAGCCAGAAGAAGGGCGTCTGTGGGAGGAGGGGGTGTCAGCAAGTCTATTTCAAGAGTACAGCTCTGGGCTCCCAGACTCTGTGGCGACCTTGCCAAAACTGGGACTCCGGCCTGAAGAGCACCCTCCCCATTCACAAAGCCTCTGGCAGCACACAAACTTAGTAAAAAATTTACACAAGGCTTTTCAGGCTTTCTTAGACTTTGAGACACAAATGGATTTGTTCTAAATTGATTTTGAATTTTCAAATGTCAGACACGTTCAATAAAGGAAATTTAGAGGTTAAAAAAGTAAAACTACTGTTTCAAAAAAGCATTTTGCGGCTGCTGTTAGAATATTAGTAATACTATCATTAATATTAGAATATTAAGAAGTAAGGTGATAGTCTTGATTGGAAACCTGCTGCCTCTACATACACTTAGTACCTAGAATTTGATTTCCAACCTTTCTGTGTCATTTTAAAGATGATGAGGGAAACTTTTTCTTTCTCGGTCTTGCTTGGCGATGTCGTTTTCTCAAAGAAAAATAAAATGGAGTGATCGGTAGTTTAGAAGTAACTGTAAAATATGCCACTAACTGGTCTTCAGACTGGAAGCTCCTGGAGCATTTTCCGAGGTCTATGTGGAAGGCAAGGCTTCGGTTTACAACACTGAACAATTCTTTAAAAGCGCGACTGTTCTTAAAGAGTTACTTCCTCCTGGGATGGAACATCAAGATCTGACCCTGGGTGTGGGGCTAATTCTGGGGTTTGTATGAATGGGGAGTTTATGTCTGTTCCTCTTCCACCTGGAATCCCACAAGCCTAAGGCCCAGGGCTGGGGTGGGGGAGTGCGGGGGGGGTACATCTACATCGACCTGGCCTTTCTAGTTAATTGGTTCTTCATTCTTCCTCGAACTGGATAGGGTGCGCCCAGCACTCACTTCGACTTTTCTGCTTGTTCTGGGTATCTGGCGGTGTGGGCTGGCAATCACAGAGAGGAGGGAGATTGTGTCTGTGGTGTCAGGCTCCTCTTGGAATCCTGGGGAACTCGAGGACACTGAGAGGACAGGACAGACGCCGCTTTCGTTTGGCGCGGGTCACTTTGCACAGGCGCACCTACGTCTGCGGTGCGCGTTCTATGAGACCAAGGTGGACTCCTATGGTCTTCCCTCTGGCTTCTGTTGCCGATTACAGGACACTGGAAACCGTCCAAGCTGCAGATTCTTTCCGGAACTCGGGTTTTTCCTCTCATGAGTCGATTCCCACCGAATTCGGATAGGCATCCGCCTCCAGAAACGCTGACACTCTGGTGCTCGGCTCGAAGTTGCCCACAGTTTAAACCAAACTACACGGGTTCGGGGGGGGGGCACGTGCTGGTGCCTGGCTCTGGGGAGGAAACCTCCCTTGGCCTTTGTGTGAAGTCCAACATCTGCTGTTTATTTTTTTCTTCGAGGGAATTTGAGTCCCGATTCCTCTGTATGTTCGCGTTCAGCAGCCTACAGGTTCGTTTCTGCTAGCTCAGAGATGGCCTTTAAGTCTCGGGATCCTTTATGGAGCAAGGAATAAACTCATTCTTTGGTGCCGCAAGGATTATTGAAGAGAATAGCTCGCTTGTGTCCATTTTATTATGGAAAACTTCAGACACTCCACCTAAGTCCATTTTATTATGGAAAATTTCAGGCACTCCACCTCCCCCATGAGCAAAAAGATCTAAAAAGGTGGAGGGTGAGCCCGATAGTTTCTGCCCATAGACCATGAGAAAAGAAAGGGGAACGTGAGTTGGGCTGGGCTACCCTATCCCGGCCATCCCAGGGACATCCTCCTTAAAAATAGCCAAGTTTGAACCTCAGAGTGCCCAGCCCCCCTCCTCCCAGCGGCCTCCCTAGTCTGAGAGGAGCCTGGGAACCTCTCGAGGCAGCCGATAACCACCCTCCAGCTCCAGCCTGCAAGGCCTTGAAATGCTCCCCGCTCCTGGCAACGTACAGAGGTCGCCTTGGTTCCTCTGTTTCCAGCATAGGAAGGGAGCAACTGAAGGGTCGGAGGCAAAGAGAGGGAGGGAGGGAGGGAGGGAATGAGGGAAAAACCAAAAGCGCCCAAGAAACGCGTCTGGTTTGACTCTCAGCCCACACACCGAGAGAAATTTGGTGTGTGGGACCCAAAGTGTGGGGGTTAAGTCACAGGAAGCTGAAACAAATGTCTCAGTCCCAGGCGCCTTGCAGAGTCAGAGAATTGTCTCCGGCCTTGGGCTCACAGCTCTCAGCCCAGCAGGAGATGGCTTGCTGGAGGCCTGGACGGGAAAATGGCCTACTAGATCCAGTCTGTAGCCCGCAGCAAGCAAGAGCTAAGAATCAACCGTCTCTCTTATAGACTCCACTCGAGTTTCCTAACACCCAGTCGGAGCAATATCTCCAATCTGACTCGAGGGCATCCTCCTTTATTTTATTTTGGTTTTCCGAGACAGGGTTTCTTTGTGTAACCCCGGCTGTCCTGGAGCTTGCTCTGTAGATCAGGCTAGCTTCAAATTCAAAGATCAGCCCGCCTCTGCCTCCCGAGTTACTGGGATTAAAGGGTGCCTCCACCTTCCCCAGGCAAAAACAGGACTTCCTGCCTGCTAGGCTTAGTGCGCTCTACCAACTGAGCTACAGAGCGCGGCACCCTCACTCTGAAATGTTAGAAGTGAGTTTCGGGAAGGCTGAAGGGTGGTGACTGCTTCAGGACACCACCTCGCTAAGGTCCATCCCACACCAAGGAGAATGCCCCTGGCAGCGGCCAGAGACCTTGGGGACCCTGAGGAACGTCTCGTGGTTGCTTCCCCAGTCACCAAACCTCAAGCCCCAGGCTCTGTGGTGACAAACACAACCAGAAATGCCAGGCCCGGTCCCCAAGCTTAGCACATTTTGATCTATGAGGGTTGCTACAGAACGGCTTGTCTGAGACCTGTGACACAGCCTACAAGTAGCACAGGAGGCAGGGAGGGAGGGAGGGAGGGAGGGAGGGAGGGAGGGAGGGAGAGAGAGAGAGAGAGAGAGAGAGAGAGAGAGAGAGAGAGAGAGAGAGAGAGAGAGAGAGAGAGAGAGAGAGAGAATCTTCTTCCGTGGGCCGTGGGTGTGGGCCTTTGGCTTCGCGTCTCTCCTGCTCCCCGGGTGGCTGAGGATTTCTTGTAAACAGAGCAAGGGCCATACCATTCTCTTGGTGCATCTGAGAGGTTCAGATCCGAGTTTTCTCGGGAAGTTCGCTGATGCACAGTGATGGCCTCCGGGATCCCTAGAATATCATCGCCCCTAAAACTTTACCAGACCTGGAACCGGCAGTGCCTGATAATGTAAGGCACTGTTTAGGATGAGAGTGGGAGTGGGGGGCTGGGGAAGGGGGGCCGCAGCTTCTGGGCCGTCCAAGGGCTCAAGCCGGCGGCACCCCTGGCGAAGTCGGTGAGTCGGACTGGAGCACTGGACGCCGGGGGGCTCAGCAACCCTGGCGGCTTCAGCTTTCTCTCCTCTACTGCCACTCTGGACCTCGGCCCCTTTGGTTTGGAAAAGAGAATTCCCCCAACGCAGCGGCGCTCAATCCTTCCTCTGGGATTTTCCTGAGATCCCCGCGGGTTGGCCAAGGTCCCACGGGTTTTTCCTTTCAATCCGCTCAGCGTCCCAGTCTGTCCCTAGCGCCTGGGGTGTCTGTGCACCGGCCTGCAATAGCAATGTGCTGTCGATCCCCAACTGCTGGAGCCGCGGCCACCCGAGCTTTCTCTGGCAGCGCAGGTTTCTTACCGGGTGGTACTCCAGCCCTCTCCTGACCCCTCTAATCTTGTATGAGAAACCTGTGCTGGGGAGAGAAATGCGGCCTTAAAAAAAAATTAGCCCAAAGCGTGAGAGCCACCAGCGAGTTGTTATCTGCGGCTGAAGGCTGTGGTAATCGATGGGTTATTTTTACGCGGTAATAGGGCCCTGTGATTGCTCTATTAACCTTTAGACCTGTCTGAGGGACTCTCCCCTCACGGCCCCGCTGCGCCAGGGCCTACAAGTCCTGACGCCGACTCCAAACTCAGGTCTGACACCCTCCCTGCCCCCACTTGGGGGGGGATGGAGGCTACAGCCCCTGGATGGGCTTTAACTTTGGAGACAGGCTCTTTAACCCCCACTTCGTCCTTTTGATTGGACCCCAGCCGCTGAGAGTTGCTGAGAGAACAGGGACAGATGAGAAGGGACAGGAAGCCCCCACGCGTTGGAAACAGTGTGGCCAGGGGTGCGCGTTTTGTGTAAATACATAAACTCCTGGACTGGTGGCGGGTTCTCGGCGCCTTGCAGTCTCCACCGGCTGGTGGGAAGGTGAAAAGGACTCTTGGGTCTCTAGGCACCGACTCCAGTTCAGATGGTAGCTCCTCCTGACCCTCTCCGGAGTGCATTTCAGGTAGACCTGAAGCCAGGCAGGTACCCTCGGTAACCCAGTGCCCCACGGGCGACCCAGAGCCCAGACCAAGAGCCCAGCTCGCGAGGTCGCCTTCCCCTCTACCAGCCCCGCCCCTTGCCCCCCGCGGCTGGACGTGGACCACCGAGGGTGGGAGGAAAGAGAAGGACCAGTGAATAAAACAATCCTTGGCGGAGCAGCGCGCCGCGAGGACGTCAGGCTGCCGGGTGAGCAGAGCCCGGCGCCGGTACTGAGCGCTTTGGTTCCCCGAGATCCGCGCGCCTGGACTTTGCCTGCTGGGGGAGCTTAGGGACCAGCCCCGAAGGCGGACGCCGGGCGGAGGTGCAGCCACGGCCGCACACCCCGCCCCCGCCCCCTGCCCTTGCACGTGACTCCCTTAGGCCAGTCAGCGCTGGCGATCCTAGCGCGGGGGGCCCGGAGAACAGCGCCGGGAGCAAGGGACGAGCGAGAGGCCGGCAGAGTGGCCGCTTGAGGCTCCGCCGCCGCTGCAACTGCGCGGGCGCTGGGAGAGCACTCTGGCTCTCCGAGAGGCTCGAGCTGGGCAGGTAGGGCTCCCCGACTCCCTGCTGGGCAGGCGAAGCTCGGCTGTCTGCTGCTCTAGTTTGTCTGAAACAGGGAGGGAAGCACGCTGCTAAGTGGGAAAGGAGACGCGGGTTACTCCAGTGCCCCCAGACTGGCTGAAGCTCTGCTTTTGACTTTGGCCTAGCAAAGACTTTAAATCGAGTGAGACTGATTAGGAGCAAAAACTCATGGGTGCTCGCGAGGTGCGTTTGGATTGTTTGGGGGGGACTTGACCACTTTTAATCGGCCCTGTGTGCAGATTCTCCAGTTCTGCTTTGCACCCCACAGGCCGGGGCCGGTGTAATCTCTCTGATCGACTGGCCTGGGTCAGGCCGCATAGCCCCTACATTTTGGGGCGCAGACGGAGGAGTGTATCCAGTCTGTGACGCGGGGAATGCCTAGTGGCGGCGCCAGGCAGCACTGGGACCTGGGAGAGGGCTGGAGGCACTCGGAGGAAGTTCGGAGGCCTCCCGACCTTTTCTGCTTCCTACTGCTTTCTAGCCTGCCTCCTCCAACTCCAGACTAGGGCCCAGGAATCGTGTGTGCTGCGCTCTGCTGACTACTGCGCACCCTCACCGCTTCTGGGAGAAAGCAGACCCGGGCCGTAGCCACCATAGCAGACAGCAGGGATGTTCCTGGCTAGCTTCCTCATCCATATATTATGCTGATTGGATGTGACCTGAGAGCGAGTGGGCAGTTACTATCCTTAGGAGACAGATGTCTAGGTGGTAAAGTTTCACCAGGTGGAAGGAAGGCGGCCTTTTCGGTTCAAGGGAAGAAGGGAGTGAGGGACCCGAGCCATTGGCAGAGCTAGGGCAACAAGGCCGCGCTGCTGGGAAACACCTTGGGAATTTATTTCCTGTACCTTTGGAAAAGTAAGGCAGCCAGGAATGACGCTTCGGACATCCAAAGAAAGAAAACCTGCATGCTGAGGCCGGTCGAGCTTCGTTTCTGAGGCCAGCATATGAGTCTATTTTGTGTGTGACAATTCTCAGTGTGGCGGTACTAGAGAGACCGCGCGAGCGCGAGCCGCACGGAAAGATCTGCAAAGGGACACATTATGGCGTGTTGCATTTTCCGACTCTCAAAAACAGGTTCTAAAAGGGATGTGGGCTAAATTATAAGAGAAGGTTTTTTGTTTTTGTTTTTATTTTTTTTCTGCTTGGGAACTTGGGAGTGAAGTTCGTGGAGTGATTCGAAAGACAGAGAAAACTCTGGGCCGGGCTAGATGACTGTGAGAATCTGGAGGTGGCTGGGCCCGATCAGAGGCAGGCGGGAATCCACCTAAGGGAACAGTCTTCCCAGAAAGAGAAAGAGTATTTTATTTTCTCCACCTTCTATTGTTCTAGTAACCCAACTTCAGGTTAAAGTATCAGCCATTTGAAACTGCAGAGCGCTTCTAAGAGATCCCAAACTGATTTAGTGTTTGCATTTTTTTTTCAAGCTTGCAAGTTAACCTGGGCAAGTACACTGTAAATTACAGAACTCTAAATCTCTTCCTTTAACTTGTTAGTCGAGAAAAGAAAATTCACATACTTTTTTTACGACTTCCTGAGTTGAAATTACAGAAAATACAATTAATTAGACCAATGACTTGATTTAAAAAAATGAATAATGGATATTTTATCAACATAAATCTATATATTTGCTTATCAAAACCCCAAGATTTCTAGAGCTTTTTGTCTTTCTTTATAAAGGAAGAGTTGGCGACCTAAGGTCAAATTTCGTGTATCCATTCTCCAGCCTAGATGCTAGAAGGAAATGTACCCAACTTTCAAGCCAACAGTTTATTGTATATTTTGAAAAAGTACATACTAAACAATTCATCAGTTACTCTGTGACTACATAATTTGGTCATGGCTCTATTTTTGCTAGAAATGATGCAAAGATGGTGAGAAAATTAGTGTGTATATTAAACACCCCTTTCCAGAATTTTTTATAATAATAAAGATAATGTAAATATAAACTACATCCCAGGTACTCTCTTTTGATGTATTAGAGATCTGCAATAATAACTGTTATGTAGAATCTCCTGAGTTCCTGTTGTAATAGGTTTCTAAGGTCTGGTCATAAATCTTCTATGTGTATTAAATTATAGCTTCCATCCATAATCTTCCAGGGACTATAAGACGCAAGTACCCTTAATATTTTCACTTTACAGATGAAGGACTTAGGGGTCTAAATTTATTTATTCCGGGAGTGACAGACCTGGGTTTGTAGCTAGTTCACTTAATATTCTTGCAAATGCATTGTTGCACTAAAAAAAGAAAGAAAGAAACCAAACATATGAGGAGGCCTCTTCTTAAGGGAAGATGTGCCTGTACTGGGGATTCCAAATACTCATGGCCCTCAGGCACCCCTCCCCCAAGTGTACTTTGAGCTTCAACAAGTTTCAAACTCACCTATACCTCCTTTCCCTCTTAAGTAAAAATAAGGAAATTTAGACAGCTTCATTTAATGAAGGCACAGAGAGAAGGGTTTGAAACATAGCAGGTATGTTTGGAAAATAGAACCATGTGCCCCCCCTCCACTTTATTCTCTGGTAATGCCAAAACACAGAATGCCTGGAAGGATGCCGCCAAATGCTAGGAATCAACTCTGCTTTTGGCGGAAAAGCAGGGAAAAGCCAGCCAGCGAGCTTGAGTGTTTCCTGAGTTCTGTAATGACCTTGTTCAACCCTTCTGCTTTTCTGGTCCCAATATACGGTCTGCAAAGTGTTTGAAATGTAACTATTTGCAGAAACGTGTGGCTTGTCTGATTTGACACCCACATGGTGCACAGTGCGATTAAGGCGTTTCACAACCCTTTTTATGGTTTCACCGACACTTGCTCATTTATAAACATTTAGATTCTACCTCTAGGTGCTCTTTTTAAAAGATTACAAACAAAACTTTCCTAGGTTGCTGGTTTTTATAAAGTTTGTCATCGCCTCTGTCCCAATCTACGGTTCTTGTTTGGTCAAGAAAATGCTTGAGGAAAGGTCCGGATATATAATAAAATAATATAATAATAAAAAAGACAGAGATTTTTTGAGTCACTAATGTTCTCTGGAATCCCAAATCTTGTACTCAACAGAATACTCTGGAGGAAAAAAAAAAGGAAAAAAGGGGGAAAAGTGCTTGGGGAATAAGGTAAAATGAAAGTCTTTCCTGATGAGCAAATATAAAAATAATTGACCCAGCTCGCAATCGAGAACTGCATGCCCGACACCCCAGATCTCTTAGGTTGTTCTCCAAGATAGCTGCCGTCCGCAGCCTGACCTGGACCAAACAAAGGCAGGCTTTGGGCTGTACCTGTACCTCAGAAGTCTAGAGGCTAGAGAAGGGAGGTTGGTTCGCGGTGCGGGAGGAGCGACTGAACAGGACCGCTGAACGTGGCTCTGAAAGTCCTGGGGTGAACTGTTCTCATCTGTGCTTTATTTCTCTTTCAGGACTGCCGCTGCAGTGAAAGGCCCTCTTCGCTGAAGCCCTGCGGGAGCCAGCAGCTTAACTTGGGTGTGCAGCAGGCAGAGCGCAGCGACTAGGCACATCCAACCGGTTGTTTGACCCGAAGGTCTGCTCAGGGTGTTCAAGCCCAGCCTCGACTACATCCTGGGCACCTCCCGCCTCCTGGCCCTGGAGCGGAGTGCAGGATTCACGATCTTCTGGAACAACCACAAATCCAATTTGGGATTTTTTTTCTGAGCAAACCAGAACCTACAGGTTGCTCCTTTGATGCTGGATTTAATTCGCATATATTTTGAGCGAGTTGGGCCTCTCCCCATCGATTTTTGATCGCCGTTTTCGTGACAGTTACGCACACCTGCATTCTAATTCTTGTCGCTTTGGTTTGCTGTGCCCGCGTGGCTCCCTCGACTCGCAAGTGAAGAGAGGACACCGACGCGCAGAGCTTGGGGCGATGTACCAAAGTCTGGCCATGGCCGCCAACCACGGCCCCCCGCCCGGCGCCTACGAGGCGGGTGGCCCTGGCGCCTTCATGCACAGCGCGGGCGCCGCGTCCTCGCCTGTCTACGTGCCCACGCCACGGGTGCCGTCCTCTGTGCTTGGCCTGTCGTACCTGCAGGGCGGAGGAGGGGGCACTGCGTCCGGAGCCGCTTCGGGTGGCAGCTCCGGGGCCGCCCCATCGGGTGCGGGGCCAGGGACCCAGCAGGGCAGCCCCGGCTGGAGCCAGGCTGGAGCTGAGGGAGCTGCCTACACCCCGCCACCTGTGTCCCCGCGCTTCTCCTTCCCGGGGACCACTGGGTCCCTGGCGGCCGCAGCCGCTGCCGCCGCCGCCCGGGAAGCCGCAGCCTACAGCAGTGGCGGCGGGGCGGCCGGCGCGGGCCTGGCTGGCCGAGAGCAGTACGGGCGTCCCGGCTTCGCAGGCTCCTACTCTAGCCCCTACCCAGCCTACATGGCCGACGTGGGTGCATCCTGGGCCGCAGCCGCCGCCTCAGCAGGCCCCTTCGATAGTCCAGTCCTGCACAGCTTGCCCGGACGGGCCAACCCTGCCCGACACCCCAATCTCGGTGAGTACTGAAAGGCCTTGAGTCCTGTTTGAGGCATTCAACTGTCCCAACTCTGTTGGGATTGGGGAGCATCCTTGATGCAGTGAGCCTCCTAGGAAGGTAGCCTGGGAACAGGAGGCTCCTGGTGGTGGGCCATCCTGGTGATGAGTAGCCTGGCCACTGGAGTCCAGCAAAACCCTTCTGTAACCGGGTGGCCTTGTCTGCACAGTTTCTGGGTAATAGTGAGAGGAGCCGGAGCAGTCTGGCGAGCCGATCCCTGGGATTCAGCCCCCACTTCCTCCATCCCTTCTTCTGAGTCCTCAGCAAACCTGGGACCTGCGCCATTTGGCAGCCAGGTTGGAGGATCCCTCAGGGTGGCAGATGACTTTCCGGTGGGGGGTTTTCACACCCGGAAATAAGGAAGAGATCTGTAAAGGAGACCGCCAGAAGTGGGTCAAACATGCTTAACCTGCAAGTCTCCTCAGGCGCACTGTAAGGTCCCATGATGCCACTCTCATGCTCAGACACCCAGGTCAGTGCCTGGGGACAGTGCAGGGGGCTTCTTTATGATGTCTGAGTTAAATGGAGAGACTTTAAGGTTGCAGCCCTAGAGGAAGGCCTGGTTAACGGTAGTGTTCCCATCCAGTGTCAGACCGAAAGGACTGCCAGTTTGCCCCACTTACACGGACATTTCAGAGGGGCCCTGGCCACTGGGCTGGGGGAGAAAAAGAAGAGAGACTGTTTACTCGTGCAAAATGCCAAGACCTTACTCCTGTAGAATTTCTAGAGAGGATTGGAGGTGGCCTTTGGATGGAGCTGGCTCTTGGGGAAGGGAGGAAGCTCAGATTTGAGAAACAAAGTTAACATTTATTGACTACCTACTAAGTGCTAAGGCCTTTTGCGTTTGCTGTCACTTTGAAGAGTAAAGTCTATCCCTTGCCACTCCCAGCGCTAGTTTGTCTCCTGAGTAGAGGCTCAGGCTTTGAAGAGGTTTAAAGTTATTCTCTGACCCTGGGTGGCCATGGAAGGTCCTCAGGAGGGGGGTCTAGCCAAATATACATCCCAGGTAAACTGATTAACCATGGAAGTGGCGCCAGGGCTGGGTTTGTGACTGGCAGTGTCCCCCCACCCCCGCCCCCATCCCGTGCTCCCCCCTCCTCCCCGCAGGCAGGGCCAAGTAGACTGCACCCTAAGGAAGGAGGATAAGCTCACCAGTGTGGCCCAGACCTTTGAAACAGAGCAGGGTGGTGACTTCCCTGTGGCGGAGGCTGGAAGTGGGCCTGCAGGGGTTTTGGCCTGTATTCTTGGAGTAGCAACCCAACCCAACCACTAGCTTAAAAAAAAGAAGAAATAAACAGAGTATGATGACCCATGACTGTAATTCCAGAACTGAGGAGGATAGCCCGGACTACACAGAAGACCCAGTCTATTAAAAAAAATCTTGGAGTTAGAATTTGGTGTTTGGATACAGCAAAGAGTGAAGTTCCCATTTAAAGATGAAGAAACCATTCTGGTATTCAGTATAAAAACAAAAAAAGTGACTTGTGTGTCTCTACTTGCGAGCATGGGGACTGAAAAAGGTTTCCCAAATTCCAGGATCCACACAAAGCCAACAAAACAATAGGGGACATCTCTCCCCCTGAGAGTTTGTATGTTGGGCCCTCATCCCTACTAGTCAGTTGATGAAGCCCCTGCTTCCAGCTAAGTGCTGTGGGAGCACCACGAGGGAGCACCAGGTATTTTGAGAACGTGTTGTCTTCCTTTGATGTATTGGGGGATATACTCATTTTTTTTAATCACACAGTACCTAGATGACCTGTCAATGTAATGGCATTGCTCCAGTGAAAAGTGCTCTCTGTGAAGATGTTTTCTTCTTTAGCCCCATTCCAAGCCAGAAAATCAAGCACAGTTCCTGGCATAGGCTGGGTAAAGACTCTACCACTGAGACACAGTCCCAGCTGTTGTTGTCCCTCCATATGCTTTGTAAACTGCCTTGCCTATGCACGGACACTAAAATGCTTGGTAGCATTAGTAAGACTCAGCCATCAAACTAGCCAATGGTCCCAAGTAATGGGAGGGTAAAAAGAACAGGTTCCCTCATGTGTATTGAGAGGTCCTCTTTGGATGTCATGACCATCAAGCTCATGTGGAGCCCCCAGACCTCAGTATCACATGACTTCAGGCAAGTTGCCTACCTCTGTCCATTTCATCTCATATTCTGTTGGGTGGCTTCAGTTCAGCTTGCCTGCTTTTAGAGTTCTCCTGACTTTGGTGGTCTGTGTGATGTCTAATGATTGATCTTTTTATAAATGATGGCGGTTTTATTAGTTTTTCTAGGACTAATGGGCTTCCTAGGACTTGAGAAGTATTAAGCCTGGTGTAGTCCCTGATGAGCAGGGACTATCCCTAAATAGACACGTAAAATGTATAAATGACTCGACATGTGGTAAGGCAAGGGGAGATGAACCGAGAGCAACGCTGAGAAACCAGGAAAGAAACTTCCCTCTGACAGCATGGAAGTCTTCACCTAGGAGGTCCTGTCTGCCCCCGGTCTTGCTGCATCAATAGAAGTTTGCCAGGAAAGGAACCTGAACCTGCAGTTAAGAAAAAGAAGGGAGAAAATGACATGCATTCACTTACTTGATGCATTTATAGAGAAGCGGGATAACACAATACAGCTTGTCCTTGGCTGCAATAATAGATTCACCTCCATGGGTGGATCTCAGAGACTGATTCCTAAGTCTGAAATGTATTTAATTTGCATTGAGGAGAAATAAGCAAATACCATTATCCTTTCCTTGAGATTGAACTGTTGTGCTGTTAACAGTTAACATCTAGCAAGTTCTTATGCTGGCTATTGGAATAAGGCAAAAACCAAAATGATAAAAACCGACAGGGGCATGTGAAAAGATGACCTTGGCGAGAAAGAAGTTATTGCATCACGACTGTAGTATACATGAACTTCAGTTCATTCCAAGTTCAACAGACCCAGGACCCTGAAGCAATTCTTGGAAGCATTAATTAGACACAATAATGGAATTCTGTGACCTTATTAAGGCAGGTACAGAGTCTTACTCATATATAGGTGCCTGGCACATGCTGGGCAAGTAGCAAATATTTGAGCAGAGATCTGGGAGGTAATTGCCCCAGGACTCTGCCCTGCCCTGGTCAAACCACACAGAATGGCTACCTGTGTCCTTTAAGAAGCAGACTAGAGCTGGGTGTGGTGGCGCACACCTGTGACCCCAGCACTCAGGAGGCTGAGGCAGGAGAATTGAGCACTCAAGGCTGGTCCGACCAACATAGCAATCCCCTGCTTTAAAGAGAGAGAGAGAGGAGAGAGAGAGAGAGAGAGAGAGAGAGAGAGAGAGAGAAGATAGAACTGGAGAGTCTGGGAGAAGAGGTTGGGAGCACCCTGAAAACTTGGGACCACTGGTGCCAGAAGTGATGGGTGGAAGCTAGAATTGGGTATCAGACGCCCTAGGCCCTAGAACTGGAGTCAAGTGGGGTTGTGAGCCACTGTGTGGGAGCTAAGACTCAAACCCAGGTCCTCTGCAAGAGTAATAGTGCTCTAAAGTGCCGAGTCACCTCTCCATCCTGATATTTATTCTTAAAGCAGGAGACTTTCACTGTGCATACAACACATCACAGTCTAGTTGATTTCTTGTACCCGTTAAGGCTTGTATAGACTTAAAGCCGAGAGAGAGAGAGAGAGAGAGAGAGAGAGAGAGAGAGAGAGAGAGAGAGAGAGAGAGAGAGAAACTGGGAGAGAAGTTAGACATAAATAGACCTTGAACGGCATGTCATGCTTGTAGTTGTTACTGGGATATCTAAGAAATATAACTTTCTAAGGAAGAGTAATTCTTTTGTGTCTTAGAGAAATAAGCAATCCTACTATTCTTAAAGGATCTAAAAAAATGGAGTTGTTAGAGGGCTCAGTGAGACTAACAGAAGGAAGTAAATCTGTGGTTTGCTCAGTGCTTTTGAAACAAGTGAAAAGCATTGTTCTATCTCACACGGGGGGTGGGGCCCTCAAGGTGTTAGGTCAGCAGAATATGCTGTAGTGTTTGCTGGGTCTTTGGGGGACTGCTTTATCAACTAGGCCAGTTGCTTTCAGAGTCAGTTTGCTTAAACAGGGAACGCTGTGATCTCTGAAGTAGCCTGTTCAACTCAGGAACGATTTGTCAGTCTTGAAGAAAATCAAAGTTGTTTAATTTTCCGGTTACCACCCTGAGCAGGTCAATCAGAGTGGGGGCTGGTCTGTGGTGCTAAGTGGAGAGCCAATTAAATAAAGAAGGTGTGTTGGAGTGGCCTGGGGTGTGTCTCTGCCTCTAGTGACACTTGTCACTTGCTAGATTGTGTCCCATGAAAAGGTCAGGCCACAGTTGCTGGTGGAATGATGTTCAGGAGACAGTTTTAGATAACACCTTCTCCTGTTCCCCTCCCTGTTGATTTTTTCTCTTCTTCTTTAAATGCACTAAGAAAACAAACATACTGTGAGGTGTGGGGGACAGGAACTCTGATACCTGTGGGTGGGAATGGTCATCTGGGCAGCCTTTGTAGAGCCCTTGCTAAAACAGTCAAACTACAGAGCAGATAGCTTTGACACTGAACTTTTGGCTGCAAACAATGAATTCTGGGGCACATATTCACCACATTGTCATCCACAATAACAAAATCCAGAAGAAATATAAATGTGCACCGTAAGGGGATTGTCTTCATATGCGGCTCACACACCTGAGCATAGAAGATGATGGAGGTCGTTATTGGACCCCTTGAAATCCTTTCCAAGCCACTTGGAAGTGCTGGAGGTGTGCGCAGCACTTGGTGTTAAAAATGGGGAAATACAATGTATTCATTTGACAATACACACACTATCTCTGGAAGCTCCCTCAGGCCATAGGTAAAGAATTTGTAACATTGATCGTCTACGGGGAGGCCCAAAGGGTAGAGGAAGGATGAAGTTGGGAAAGGAGCTGGCCATAGTCGCCTGTTTTAGAACTGAAAACACACTTTTGATC